TTTTGACCTCAGCGGTCTTGACTCTCGGTTTTCGACCTCAGCGGTCTCGACTCTCGGTTTTCGACCTCAACGGTCTCGACTCTCGGTTTTTGACCTCAGCGGTCTCGACTATCAATTTTTGACCTCAGCAGTCTCGACTCTCGGTTTTTGACCTCAACGGTCTCGACTCTCAGTTTTCTACCTCAGCGGTCTCGACTCTCGGTTTTCGACCTCAGCGGTCTCGACTCTCAGTTTTCGATCTCAGCCGACTCGACTCCCGATTTTCGACCTCAGCGGTCTCAACTCTCGGTTTTCGACCTCAGCAGTCTCGACTCTCGGTTTTCCACCTCAGCAGTCTCAACTCTCGGTTTTTGACCTCAACGGTCTCAACTCTCAGTTTTCGACCTCAATGATCTCGACTCTCAGTTTTTTACCTCAGCGGTCTCGACTCCAGCGGTCTCGACTCTCGGTTTTCGACATCAGCAGTCTCGACTCTCGGTTTTCGACCTCAGCAGTCTCGACTCTCGATTTTAGACCTCAGTAGTCTCGACTCTCAGTTTTTGACCTCAGCGGTCTCGACTCTCTGTTTTTTACCTCAGCGGTCTCGACTCTCTGTTTTTGACCTCAGCGGTCTCGACTCTCCGTTTTCGACCTCAACGGTCTTGACTCTCAGTTTTCGACATCAGCGGTCTCGACTCTCGGTTTTCGACCTCGAGTTGAAGGAGCCTGGGTGAAATCTATTCACTTCATCTTCAATCATATATTTAGCTCGAGAGTTAGTGTATTAAGCCAAATTAAGAGAAATTCTTCACGCACGCACGCCAAGCAAGGTTACCGAGCGGACACGAAAATCTCACGAATTTAATCGAGCGTTTGAGGAGGTAATCACGTCTTATCCTTCTCTTAGTATCAGTTTGATCATTCTTCGTTTGTTATGTCTAAGCCATGCTATTCGGTTCATGTTAAGGCCATGTTAAGCTCGATTTAAATCATTTTAAGCTATGCTGAGCCATGTTCGATTCTATTCGGCAACTCCCCAGCAACTTTAGTTCCTTTAGTCATTATTTGACTTATTATGTTCAGATAAGTAAGGTTGGTCGAGGAAAAATCATCGTTGTGCTGAGAGTTGGCCAAAGCCGTAGGTACCGCACGTAGCGGAAGCCACGGCCCTCTTGATTGCTCGAGTTATGTTCATGATCATCCAACCATTTTATGTATAATTATTCATGTTATAACCAGTTATGTTGATTCATGTGAGAAACGGTCGGAAGAGTTTGTCAAGTGGCTGAACATATCGGCCGTAGCGTCGGGTCGCGCCTACGCGCACGCTACAATCATATTCCGAGGCATGTCAAGGTCTTTCTTATGCAATTTCATGTGGTTATGTGGTTAT